GTTCGCCGATTGATTATAATATAGAACATCCATCCCTACAATAAATCTAACACAAGGAAATGCAGAGTTGTACAACATCGTTTTTGCAATTGTATATGCAGAGTGAAAATGACCAAAAATATAGCAGAAAGATCAAGTCCAAACAGTAAGATCAAGAAGCTTAATACCAAATGAAAAGATCTAAACATTAAACGAAAACTTTGTTGTCTTCCACTGGACTTGAACTTTTCATCCTTGGTATAAATTCAGACTTAACAGGAAAGAACGGGATGTAGCTAATTTCCAGTAGAGATGATGTTATCTAGTGCTCGAGAGCTAAAATTTTCTCGTTAGTTGGAGCACTGACGATAATAAGACCTTATTTTTACAAAAATCACGAACCCAATTCCCTTTGGTCCTTCATTCACTTTATGAAAGCCTCCTCCAATTCTTGTAGTTCCTCCTGCAAGGACGTTCTCCATTTGGTACCATTCAGTGTTTAATACTACGCCTTTAGTTTGTAGTAAGTTTTCGTTGGGATTCATTTCTTTGCAAATAGACCATGAATAGCCTCGTCCCAATCAGCAGTCCAGAATGGAAGGCAGCAGTTGATGACACTAGTTTTCTTTTTCTCGCTGATAATGGGTATGGAGGATGCCCAAGTGAAAATATAGGAACCTTAGTGATCCAATATGATGGAAAATAGATGCATAAACAACAAAAACTAGGCCACCGACAATTAGTAACAGCAATACTTCGAGACATAACAAGCGATATGATAGTAAGGCGCGTACGGGTACATTTGATCTTTTAGTGAGAGACTTTGTGGAAATGGGTTTGACCAGTTGCAATAATGACAATGGAAAGATGGTTCAGCGTAGTGATTATTCCACTGTTGCAGGCACGGAGGAGGAGCAGCTCAATGTTTTAGTGTTTGTCTGTAGTTTAAACCGATACCAACAACAATCGTTGCAACCCTCTCGTCGGCTGCCTCAGTGCCCACATCGTCGAAACACTCATTGTGCTGAGTCAAAGATAATTTTTGCAATTTTATTAAGTTTTCCCCAAAATAAAAACGGCGAAATTGCTGTCTAAAAATGGTTAGGGTGATCACGAGCACTCATCGCATTTGTGCTGCCGAGACAGACTTAACAAGGAATTTGTCAGGACAGAAATCAATACATGATACGAACTGAGTTCACTCCCACCCGGTTGAAAATTTAATCCATTCTATTTGTTTTTATTGCGACCTTGTTGCAGAGATAAGCTCAATGTTTCATGCTGTATTTCAACACCTAAGAAGAGAACTAAACCGTAGAGTTTTCTTGGCAATCACGAACTGTACTTACATGCTGCATTCCACACGACAGCATATAATTAAAGGAAAAACATCGTACACCAATTGAAGACCTTGAGCATTGTCATCCTGCTTTGGATGGTTGACTAAGGATTTTAACTTAAATAACGTCTAATTTGCACGTTGAGTGTGTATACAAATGCAAAATTGAGTTCTCGCAAGGATAGTTTTGCGATATATACTTAAGGACTACTTAAGGGGACAGTAGCATAGTGATAGTGATGTCATTCTTCACGAGCTAGTCGTACGCCATCCCAAACTCACCAAGCATCCTATTCTCTATGATCGCAAAATTGGTACCAGATTTGTTTGGGAAGAGCTCTACTTCCTACAATCGAAATAGGAACACTCAAACCACGCTATCCGAAGACTCTAAAGAGAATCTACTCGCTCAACATTCAAGATTTCATAAAGATGACAACCTTTAATCATCAGCTGAACCCACAGCAGAAAAGGTAGAAAACCTTCATGGATGTAAGGAAACGAATCAAATGTATGAAATGTTGGGATCCTCACAGTACATGTAAGGATGGGTCATGTAAAATAAAAGAAGATATTTAAGGACAAATACTTCGAAAATCGACAATCAAGAATTCGACATAAAGATTCTGTCCCAAAATCATAACCAGACCACAGCATCACATACCATAGGATTGAGCAGACCTCCGGGGTCGTCAAATTGGTGCTAAACTTGTCGCGGTGAATAAAACAAATCACTGCGTTAATACAGCTGTGGACTAGCGAAACTCACAGCATAAGGCAAACACATTTTCGATTGTGTTTATGATGGCTGATGACGTCGAATACGTTACGTTTTCTTTATACATTAATAAACGCCAAAGGCTCTATCCTTGAATATAAGATATAACATTTCTAGGAGTATCACTTGGCCCATTGTTGTAAATCTTGTCAACTATGAAAAAGCTTTGGCATAACCACAAGCCATGCATACTTATTCTTCCTTCATGTTCAACAAGAAGTTCGAAGATGGCTTGCATTGCGGAGTCATTCGACACGTTGGTGTACAGTGCGGTAACGTCGAAAGACTCCATCACGTACGCGTTATTAGGAGACGCGTTACGTAGTTGTTCTAGGAACATTTGGGTGTTTGTGAGGTGAGCTGGAATATGGTTAAGCAACTGGGTAAGTATCAGGCTTAAAAACCAGGTTATTTTATCCGTTGGCCCGTCTACACAGCTGATGATCGGTCTAACCCTAAATGATGACGGATTGGTTGACGCATGATCATCAGGTGATACCAACTTATGTGTTTTAATAAGTAGGTAAAGGACGGGACATGTTGGTCTATCGATTTTAAAGTGCGAAATAACCGATGATTTTAAACCCGCAGCCTTTGCCACGCTGACCCATTGATTATTTAGTTTTCGGTATTGACTTTTATATTCCTTTTCAGAGGACGGGCGATAGAGAGTAGCATCACTAAGGTGTTCCTCTGTTATCTCAACATCCAGCTGGCGAGGGGATAACTACGAACTCTCCCCCTTTGTCATTAACAGACAATCATATTGTTAGTCAAAATGGGGTTGATAATGCACCAAGATAATAGTCCAAATGGAGTTGATAACGGTAACATTTTGACTAACAATAAGATTGTCTGTTAGTGATAAGGGGGGAGAGTTCGTAGTTATCCCCTCGCCAGCTGGATGTTGAGATAACAGAGGAACATCTTAGTGATGCTACTCTTTATCGCCCATCCTCTGAAAAGGAATATAAAAGTCAATACCGAAAGCTAAACAATCAATGGGACAGCGTGGCAAAGGCTGCGGGTTTAAAATCATTGGTTATTTCGTGCTTTAAAATCGATAAACCAACATGTTCCGTCCGATACCTACTTATTGAAACACAAAAGTTGGTATCACCTGATGATCATGCGTCAACCAATCCGCCATCATTTAGGGTTAGACCGATCATCAGCTGTGTAGACGGGCCAACGAATAGAATAACCTGGTTTCTAAGCCTGATACTTACCCAGTTGCTTAACCACATTCCAGTTCACCTCACAAACACCCAAATGTTACAAGAACGTCTACGTAACGCGTCTCCTAACAACGCGTACGTGATGGAGTCTTTCGACGTTACCGCACTGTACACCAACGTGTCGAATGACTCCGCAATGCAAGCCATCTTCGAACTTCTTGTTGAACATGAAGGAAGAATAAATATGCATGGCTTGTCCATCCAACAGCTAATGGCTCTCTTAAAGGAGTGCCTAAACTGCTCGATTTTCAGATGCTCTGGGAAATATTTCGCACAAATAAGGGGGTTGGCAATGGGACAGCGATTGGCACCAAGCCTTGCCATTGTGTTTATGTCTAAGATAGAAGCCCTTGTTCTCGATCTCCGGCCACTACTCTACTGCAGATATGTAGATGATTGTTTTGTCGTCTTCTCTACGCAGGAGGAGATGGATAAATGCTTTGAATTATTGAACGAGCAGTCCGAGTACATAAAGTTCACCCGGGAGAAACGAAGAAAAAACTGGCTTCCGTTTTTGGACGTTCAAATAAACCTATCAAGTAGCGGTTACCTGACAAAGTGGTGTCGAAAGCCAAGTAAGAAGAACATTCTTGTTCATTTCCTTTCTTCCCACCCTTCACACACAAAGAGGGCGATTGTGAGAAACATGTTTCGAACAGCCACCTCTGTGTGCACTACCAGGGAATTAAAGGAAGAATCGCGCGACTTGGCTCGGCAAATAGCCATCTCCAATGGCTACGAAATAGTAACCCCACGAAATAAGTTTAGAAGGAGAACGACGCGCCCACGCGAAACACTTGGCCAAAACAAAACCCCGTTTATGTTGCCTTTTACAAGCGATGAAGTAAGCGCAGCTATAAAACGATGCTTAAGAAGGGCAAATCTAAAGGAATCGGTAGCGATAGTTGAAATACCACCGGCTACTCTACGTCGTTAATTAGTTCGTAATCGCCTGTATGACCGTCTGCGTGAAACAACAAATTGCGTAATTTGCCCTTACGGCAGGGACGGTAATTGCATGAGTTCAGGTACGATATACCTGATCTCTTGTAATAATTGCGGAGATGAATATATTGGCGAAACGGCCAGACCTTTGTGTATCCGTACAAAAAACACCTAGATGGCAAACGAAAACTAAGACGAAGCACTACACTAGGCACGCATAGGATACAAAAGCATAGCGAAGACGATTTTGAAGTAAAAGTCGATATCCTTCCACAGGAGTCCAAAAACACCAGCGCGAAAACTTCTTGAGGTTTTTTGGATAAATGCCGAAAACTCTATAATGAATAGCAAGGACGAATGCCCGGAGGTCATACGCGGCCTGATCCCGTATGTTCGCATCGATTTTTTATGTGGGATGGCGCAGTCGTCAACCATATGCGACTATAATCAGCTGTTCTAAACTTCCTCATTAGCGGTGGGTCTTTCGAGAAGTTGTTGATCATGTAATTACCAAAGAGTTTTTCGTCTTTTTGTAAATGTTATTGAAGCGTTTGGCCTAGTAGATTGTATATCAGTATACTCTTCCAGACTCTGAAGAAGGCGATACTGCCGAAACGTCAGCTAGCGTTGGATTGTATTGTGTTTTTCTATGGAAGTAAATGTATGCTGTTTAAAAACCTCGCGAATACTGAACAAGAAAATGACGCATTCAAGTTACTCATCAAACAGAAATATTCCCGAACGTAACCATGTACGAAGCGACTAGCTTTGTGAACAGTGTTTGTGAAATAACAAGAGAAAATCATCTAACAGTGTCAAGTCTCGCACGACCTATGAACGCAAGCCAGATTAGGGGCTCAAACAAGTTAGAGAAACTTTCACCCTCACCTGCATTTGTGCTATATGAAAAGAAGAGGTTACAGCAAAAACTTCAAAAATTCCATCGTCTAGTTTTTGAGGATATTCACCTTCAGCATATTTCCATGGCTGAAACTGTATAATTACCGTGCTTTACCATACTGAACTATCTTCCATATCGTCAAAATTAAAATCAAAATGTTACAAATGGAAAGATATAAAATAGGGATAAGAAAAGCACCTGTACGCCTGCGCCCCAACAATGAATATTCAGAAACACGAGACCTTCAATTTCTGGCAGCTTTACTAACCTAAATAGAACTTACGAAAATACAAAAACGACCAACTGGGTAGGCATAATGGACTAAACCTGCCATCCAAATAAAGTGAAATTTTATCTCGGAGACCTTTGCATGTTCGAGTGAAAACGTCTTTGGTACCAAACGAGAAGAAGAGAAATTTATTCAGAAACCTGAAAAATACAAGAATAATCAAGTACACCTGATATTCCGTAAAATGTAGAAGTACATTCACTATTTTTTAGATTACATGGACCCACTATCAAACAAAAGCTATGCTGACTTTGCAAAGAATTGTTGATATTTCCAAAAAAGAAACTGGAAGTTAATACATTCGGGACGAAATTGGTTTCACAACAACAGATAAGTTCACTATGAATATAGCTCTGTAGGTGATGTGAATTTCAGACTCCTGTCAAGAAACTTGCTCAAAAAAGAGGTAACCTTAAGGATACTAAAGCACTTCTTCAATCCCAAATTCGTTTAAAACTAAGACGGCTAAAGAATTGAAGACCAAATTTAAAAGTTCCTAGGATCGACTTTCTCTTAACCTCGGCATTGGAATATGAATGTGTCGTTTTCTTGTTCAGCAATCGCGAGGTTTTTAAACAGCATACATTTACTTCCATAGCCCCGTGGACTCCATAAAGTACAAAAGAGACATGTGTCTTGTAGACAAAGACCTTTGTATTCTGTTCTTTTAAAAGCTCATAATAAGCTAAGACACGTTGGTTTGGAGATGACAAAGCCATTATTTTTGCATCATATGACTTTTTATGGTGTCACCTAGCTGAGACTGCGTTGAACAATAACCTTCCGTAGCTGGACATCGCCATACTTTTACTGAACACAATATTTGAGCAACATCAAAAAGTACCTAGTACCTGCTACTCATGGCTCTCGGTATCGACTTACGAGTTGACTGCATACCAAAGGTGACACTAGCGTCAACTCCAATAGAGACGTAATTGGTCATTCTCTTGTTTGTAATCACTGTCCTTCTACCGAACTAGAAAAAACACAAACGATTTGAAACTCTAACAATGACACCATTTCTTCTGGAAAAATATAAGATAAAAACAAACTCCAGATAAGAGCCAAACCTGGTTCTTCGATTTAATTATGATGTTCCACCTGTCCAATTTCTGCACTTCAGCAGCGAAAACGTCATTCAAATACTTGAAAACGAAAGAAATCATACCCCTCAATAATTGATTCAAAACACCCACAGAAAAAGTTTCACCTCGAGTATATTCAACTCCCCATTCGTCCCAGCGCCCCATCCCAGCACTCGAGAAAGATCATTACCAGTTCCGAGTGGAAGAATAGCAACCTATAAATAAAATAAGTTTGAGAAATTCACAAAGTAGGTAAAAAATGGCAACGGCAAAATATCACTTAAGAAATATACAGAGTATGTAGGAGACCGCCAATAGCATACCAATATTCTGCATAAAAAACTCCGTTGTATTAACGAAACAATGGAGTTACAATTTATGTACAAGCAAAAAATGCCAAAATATCATAAGACCAATCAACGAAGAGCTTCTAGCTCCAAAGGTGATAAAAAGGAGAAAGGATAAAGCTGCCGGCGTAGATCAATCACTGAGGGAAGCGCCATGCATTCGACTTCACTAAGCACCGTTAGGGGTGAGTGAATGCATATCTGGCCTTTAAAATGACTAATGATGGCCTAGTGCTTTATCGAACCAGTGCTGCTATCCTCGCAGACAAGTCTAGTAGCAATTTGCCGACGCCGGAGAGATAAAAGGCTTAATTAGCCTTGTGCACGCGAACTGATCCCATACGTATTGCATGGCGCCTCCCAGCACCGCGCTACGCAAACCTCTAAAGGCGCGCATGGCACAATATCAGTCATCACGAGGAAGATGATGGTTCGATCTCACTTCGGGCTCACCAAGCCTCTTATCCCTTCAGGATAGAGAAATTGGTACCAGATCTATCCGCGAGGATAGTAGCACTGACTCGATACACCGGTAAGTTACCGTGAATCAATGTATAGGCCAGATGTTCATTCAGTCACCTCTAAAGATGATAGTTCTCGAAAAACCACCAGAAGGTCGTCATCACTATAGCAATCTTCATTCTCAAGTTTTCTACGTTCTTGATTGATAACACAGTAGGACCAGCACATTCGCAATAATCACAGATGATTTACACGTGGTCGTAGTCGACTAAGGTACAGAGTGATCGATAAAGATTACGCATAATTTATACAATTTCCGGCTTTTTCGTAAAGTTGAGGCGGTAAATCATTGACAAGACTATAAATGCATACTTCTTGTGAGCAAGACTATTGACTGTAAACAGATCCTACTAACTGCGTGTTTTTCAGTAACCTTCTACAAAGTTTCTTTTAAAATATTCCACAATCTTAACCATTGTTCTAATAGTTTCTTACTAATGCCATAACTGCTGTGTTAAACACCACAGTTTCTTTCTTAATATGGATTTTGCTACTGTCCTAGTAATAGACAACAGAAAACCTGCGATTCCTTAATAGTGTAGAAGGGTAGGGCTACTTGCAGGCATGGAAACACTCGTGATGCGAAGATAGTTTAAGGAGTTCATCCCACTCTTGTGTTCCCTAGACAATACAATATCTATGAACTTAATAAGTTCTGAAAATTTTTAATTCTTCCTTCTTTTGAAGAGTCTAATATCAGTTGTACATACGGCATGGATGAATGAACATAAAAGATGCACAAGAAAGACAAAATGTACTCGAAATGTGTTGCAAGGGTGCAGGAGTGGTAGAGTGGAAAATATGCCGTTCAATAATCGCAAGGCATTGGTCCAACTTCGATTCGGGTCAACCAAATCTCCTACATTTCTGGGATTGCGACACTGTTATCAAACTTTTCTGGAAACAGTTCCCTGCAATGCACAAAGCCTGACAAGAGCTTGTGGTGAACACAAGAGAACGGAATAGCACGACTATCAAAGATTTCCAGGGAAAATCAACTCGAGCAACATTCAACGACTTCAGGAGAACAAATGGAATGAAAGAAGTGCTGAGGTCAGCACAATATATGAGGCCGCACAATGTTGAAACGGGAGTCAAAAATGTTGTAAAACAGACCACCAAAGTCCGGCAGTGCCGTGGTTGTAATACAGAACTGGATTATAAAGCAAAAAACCGTACGACAATTTTCTTTACAGCATGGAGAGGGGAGCTACAAAAGGGATTATATGGATCACATACAATTCATATTTGGCGAAGTGTTAAGTTATACGTCTTCACACGTGCCCGTAGTAGAAAACTAAGCGTCCTCATAAATATCTTAGACAATAACAGTAAAGGTCAGAAGTGATAAAGAAACGTACCGGAGGCTTTGTTTGAAATAACTCAAGTGTCTCGAAAACGATTGAGATCGTCCCATCACCACCAGCAACAACAAGTCTCACATTAGCAGCCAACTTTACTCATGGTAAAAATAAGAAATCAATTATGAAAAACAACATAAATGAAGTAAAGCACACCTCTGGATGTTCTTCAATCCACTGTAGAGCTGCCTTGATATTTTCTTTCTGTATATCGATGACCTAAATGCAAAAATATTCTTAAGGATAAATTTACTAGATTTACCATGGAGACAATAAAGCTGCAAATCTAGTTCCTTTTATTCATTTCCTTGCACATTTTGCAAACTTAAGACTAAAGTTCTGCAAGATTTCCCGAGAAACAAGATACAGACAAACATCTATAACAAGAATGTGCTGAAAATTTGTTCACAAGTTAAACATTATGACATGGTACACGTTCAAATATTACTGCCATGAGATCTTTGTTGACTATTACCTGACTCGATCAGGCATAATCAAAATATCCGCTCGCTCCCATAGCGGCAATGAAGCTATTTAGTGTACTTACAAGTTCGAGGGATACAAGGGACACCATACATGTTGCATCAGATTTCGTTCTTACTGGTTGCAACGAGATGGCACCCTTGACCAACTCGCTAGGTGGGAGATATCTCCAACCCGACAACTACGTAGTTTAAAGGCTTAATTTCAACTTTAGAATGAGTCGACATGCAAGGTACAACGGGGAAATACGTATGCTTGGCTCAATATTACGTGTGAATATAGGTTTATACAAGTCAATCTTATGTAAAAAAGACAGACGCCCATCTTTTGAACTCATCTACGTCTTGTAACCGTGTTTCACTTCTTATCTTTTATAGTGAGAACACATTATAGGACTTTGTAACTAACTGGCGCGAGACCTCGTTGCTACAGTGAACTATAATAGGTAAACCAACAAAACCTCGAAAGAAACGAAACTATGTCGAGATCCATACAACGAATGAAGATGGGCCTTTTAGAACAGGAGAATAGTATTCATAACAAGCAAAACGTTCGACCCAACGATCTATAGGGAAACGGAACACACCTGTCTCGGATGAAGGTGACGGAGGAAACTTCTATATACATTCCGTCCTGTACAAGAACCACAAATAGTGTTTACTAGAGTGATAATAGGCTTAAAATCCTCTTCTTCAGGCAAAATTACGCGTTCTATGACCTCAAATTGGAAAAATAACAACAATACGTAAAGGGCAATGAGATTAATGAAATAGAAAATACCGTTCGTTTCCCGCTTCGCTTAGTGCAAATACTGGTAGGAGGTAAAGTGAAATAACGGTATGGACCAAAATCACAATCTTCCGAGAAATTTCTCATCATACACGATGTATGGATCACACGCCAACAACTGGAACACAAAATGAATCTAAACAGTGGACGTTAAAGAAGAATACTTACGTGCTTGTATATTTGGATGCCCGGCCTCAATGGTTGTGCGGCCCCCGCATATTTTCATTTTCCGGAGTTTTGCTGGTTTAGCCATTGTGTTTACCTGGAGTCCCGAGGTCAGCTTGGCCAAAGTATGCCCTAGGTCGTCACCACCAGAGGTAGTCGCCGCCCCTGTTGATCAGAGGGATTTGTGCCACCATGCGATTAGTTTGATAGCAGGACGGTGGTGGATCCTGGTATTGGTTTACACTTTGCTAGGCTTTTTGGTGGGAACGCCAGACTCCTTCTCAGCTTGGGAGACCCAGCCGGGGAGATCAATGCCCCGTTGCATATTGCAGCCCAGTACCCAGGAATACCTCTCAGCCACGATTAGGTGGTAAGCTGTCGGGATGTTAAAGAAAAATACGAAAAGGAAAAACTTACAAACAACAAGCGAAGTCTTGCAAAGTGACACCACCACCACATAGTTCATTACAAATGAAACAAAATTTATCCGAATCGATGTTTCCTGGTATCTGAATCGTAGATACTAAGGATATTATAATGATGCTGAGGTATTTGGAAAACTCCGAACCGCACGTGCCTGCGATAGGGACCGAACACGTTACTGCCGTTTCCGGGGCTAACGCGTTCAGTACCCCACCATGACACTCCTTTGTTTTGTCTTTCTCTCAGCAGTACTAAGGATACCACTACATTGAATATAATGGACTATCCTACCCAGTTGTGCTGCAGCTGTCCATCTTTGCTCCGTTGCTGTACAGTTTTACACAAGACTTTCACCGCAACATTACGGGAACAAATGACCTTAAAACTATGAATTCCACATGAACACCAAAACACGTCAGCTTTAAAGAGAACGAGTGGTAATCGTTTCCAGTCACGTTCGAGAAAAATGTGATATTAACAAGATTAAGCGACACAATTCCCTAAGAGAGGAAATCAAAAACGGCTAACCTCATCGACTTTAAGTGTGCAGTAATCACATTCGTAACCAGAATATAAGTGCGTTTTACACCAGGCACAGTAAAAACCTCGATCATCAAAACTGACTCGCGTCCAGTAGTGACCACCTAAACTCTTAAAAACTTTGAAAAAACAAAATGAAAAATCTGAGCGCAGAACCTTTCGTTGAGAACCCCGTCGGAGCTGTGCTAATGTATGAGAGCTTCTACCAAATCAGTTATAACAATATCAGATGAAAGTAAGGAACTCTGTAATTAAGCTGGTAACTAGACATTCCATCCAGATTGTACCATTATTCTGTAGAGCAGTTCACAAAAACGAAAGCTATAAAGAGTTACACGCTACTAGTAAGACCCCCATTTCAAATCCATTCAGTAAAATTGCATCAAATTCATCGGAAATATATATAATTCAGGATGAAAACGGGGGATTTGTAGGCAAAATTGATATCCAGACAAGAAAGGATAAGTAAGCATCGTTGGAGGCGATTGAATGCATATCTGGCCTTTACAACGACTCGGGGTGGCCTACCAGTGTATCGAACAGTGCTGCTACACTCCCTGAGAAGTCTGGTACCAATTTGTTGACCCCGGAGCAATAGGAAGGCTTGGTGAGCCTTGCCCGCGAGGATCGATCCCATGTGTATTACAGGACGCCTCCGAGCACTGCGCTACACGCCAGATAGTCGATAAAGGCTGGCGACCAACACAGCCTTGTTTATCGGTGAAATGGTTTCTTTATACAAAGAAACTAATGGGTTAAACGCCACACCAAAAATTCTATAGGATAGCAGAATAGTTGGGATGAGAAATCAAGGTATAAGTGAGATTTAGATAAACATTAGGGCTTCATACCACTTCCTGGTTACTAGAGTACTTAAAAGCATGGGAAAATATTAGAAATCTGGGATTTCAAAGACACAGACATCTACATTTGTAAGTTTAACATGAATTTTCCAGGGTTTTATGTTCGTTTTAGAATTACTTCAAAAACCATAGGTTCAAAAAGATCTCAACTATTTAGGATTTTTTACGTTTGGCGCGTCACCTATGGGGATAAAGTCTCTTGTTAAAGCTCTTTGTCTATAGGGATAGGAGCCTTAACGGAACAAATCGAGGATAGAAAGCACTCTAGAAGTTAGAAAAGATGAGACAGAAAAACTATACGTTATTCAAACGAAAATCTGTAAGTCTTAAGAGATTTTTCTAGTTGATAAAACCTACTACGGACAGCGAATGGTTTGATCAAAGATGAAAGGTGCCATTGCTTTCCGCTAAGTATGAGCACCATAAATTGATTCATAACGCTATGAATGTGCTAACTAACGCTGGTTCGAAGATTTATGTAAACGAAACTTGAAAGAAAAGGAGAACTTAAAAAAAACGTCACAACTATTTACCACCTCATCGTGGGTGAGGTGTTCCAGGGTGTAGGGCTGCGATGCACAGCAGGGGGATTCATCCCCTCGGTAAGGTCTCCCAAGCTAAGCAGTCCGGCGTTTCCATCAGGAAGCCCAACTAAAAGTAAACCAATGCCAGGATCCACCATCGACCTGACGTATGGTGGCAAATCTCCCTCTAATCCACAAAACCGGGACTGTGGTGGTGACTACCTGGGGCAGACTTTGGCTATCCTGATCTCGAGACTCCAGGGTGCCACGAAGGCCAAACCAGCAAAATTACGAGAAAATGAAGAATATTCTAGAGCTCGCACAACCAGTGAAGACAGGCCTTCCAAGTATCCAAGTAAGTAAACTTAGAAGGAAGCTATTATAGCTAGGGATTAATCAATATGCGAAACAGTGTCAAGAATTTGATAATAGCGGTGATCTCAAGTAAGTTGTTAGTTCCTAGTTTATTACACAAAATGGACCACACAGGTCTGAACTAGGTGAGGTTGGAGGAGGAGGGAGGGGGATGGGGAAGGGAAAATCAAGGAAATAAGCAAGAAGACCAGATTAAACTATGAAATACAGCTTTAAAAAACCCACTTTTCGCCGATGTCGAATCATTAATGGATTTTCGTTTTCGTTTTTCCAGTAGTTTTCGGAAAATATAGAAAACTAAAATGGTAATTGATACGAATAGAAAGGCGACAATTAGTTCTTCATACGGATTCATTTCACGGATTCCACGAGGAAATACAGAAATCCAGGCGCCAGATTAATACCAATCCAGTCTCAAAGAATCACATTTTGCTTTGAAACTCATCGGTTTCCTTCCTCATCCATTGGAATATACACGGCACTGATGGGATAACACTTCTGAATCGCGACGCGAACGCGCCGTAGCCCCGTTTCGACATTTGTTGGCGTATTCTCGATTAGAGCATGTTAGCTGGTGGTCGATAGTTGAGTTCTTCGAAGATTAGCTCTTTTAGCATTTTTCATCTACGCTCTAAAGACTTTTCGTCGTATTGCTGGGAATGATGGCGGCGATTGTCGTTAAACCATAAAGTGATTTATAACCAAACGTCTTAATTAGCAATAGCTAAGATATCGTTTACTCGTTTTTTTTCTCCGTGTTACTGTGTTTGTTTGAAGACCGTAGTGCTCTATATAATCGTGTGAGAAAGTGATCTGACGAAAGTGACAAGTCTTATGCGTTGCATTCTATCGTCTGAAATGAATCGAGATCCTCACTTCTCACTGAAAACTCGTGAAATCTGCTCTTAATAAGATAGGGATTGGTGATAAAAATTGGCAAGCAAAGAAGTAAGGCAACCAGAGAATTAATAGAATCCATTACCTTTTGGAAGTGTGCTGCCGGTGATATGCAAAGACATTTTATTGCCACACGGGTGTCATCGTTAAAAACAGGAAATGGGACTCCATTTGAAGAAATAACTGGTTCTAAGTATAGCTAGGCTTCTTGATTGAAACGTCAGACTCCTTCTCTGCTTTGGAGACTCTGCCGGTGGGATGAATCCCTGCTGTACATCGCAGGCCGACACCCAAGAGCACCTCCCAGCCATGATGAGGCGGTAAACCGTTGAGAGGGTCTTAAGTAATTTTTAGCGTTGATTGCCTTATCACCTTATTTTACTCTAATGCTAACAAAGTGGGTTTGTTAAAACGAGCTCGTCATATAGGATGTTAAGTTCGCTTCCACTGGTTCAGAAAATTCACTGAGTTTGTAAAAATATTATTGGGTATAACCAGCACTTTGCTACGGAACTTTTTTTTCACACTTTGAATAGGAAGATATTCAGCGGTTGTTATTTCTGTTTTGCTCTTTTTACAGTATTTTTGTTTAGAGGGACCGAAAAGTGTTACCAAGTTCATCATTTAGCATGTTATTTTGCCATAGCCAATCGATGTCGGTTGATAGGGATATATAGCAGTGGAGAAATCACGAATATGGAATAATGTATAACTAAAATGAGAAATATTTGATAATGTTAGAAAATGTAGAGTGTTCTCTATGGAGTAGAGAACGGTTTTTGTACTAAACTCAGTCATGCCAGATGCCAGAAATGCCTTGCTGCACGGAATTTTATTAACATGTGTTGCTTGGTTGTAAGTTCGACGTCATATCAGACAGTTCTTAGAGTTGTTAACAGTTACGTTGAGCTACCTAAAGACAGCAATACCGACTTGTCAATAGTTGGCAGATTAAGCTGTAACTTAGCGTGTTTCAACATGTTAAGTGTTCGTATGCTTCGTTGATCTTGAAGTTTCCCTATTTACTCGGCTTTATTCGAATTGTTTCGCCCTGCACAAGCGGTTTGCTATCTATAAAATGTGTTTTTGTTCTGTATTTTTGAATTCGAGTATAATCTCTTAATGTATTCAACTTTGTTTTTGATAAACACTGGATTCAGTTGGCAATGGATTCTAAGACAACAGTTTTGACTGTAGCAGATGAAGAAATGGTCGAAGTTATGGAAGAGGTGATTATGTATTATGTTTTACTTTTATAAGTGAAATTGTACTAATTTTATTGGAGGAAATGTGCGAAAATATCCCATTCGAGAACACTTTGGAGAGAATGAGCATGAAGCTGTGTGGTTTTCTTCGTAGGCAGTTTTTCATTCATTCACATACATAAATCAAGGAGCGAGTAGCTAAATTTTTAAATTCATTCTGATGGAAGTAGGGAAAATACGTTTATTGAAGCCGATTTTCAATAGAACACACAAGGTCATTGGTTCGCGTCAGCACTTCCCTGTGAAATGTCATGTCCACTAAGCGTTGACAAAGTGGTAAAAAATTTGTATGGTATGAACACTCTCTGATCGATAAAGACTGATTGTTGCCTGTGACGAAGACCTGGGAACCGTCTAGCACAGCAGTTTATTGATTAGAGAAAGAGTCTACGCTATCAGTACTCAATGAAAATCATCAAGGAAGTGAAATCCTCAAGCAAGAGCCGAAGGCTCACGAAAATGTGAAAACATTCTTGGATGGAGGATGGAAGAAGGCGATTAGGATGAACGAATTTTGGGTTGCGCACATTAGCTGATTTTCGGGTTATTCAAATAAAATAAAAGTGGAAAGGCTGATTCCGATATTTCAAAAATCTCTCGTATGGCGAGACGATTACTTCTGGCTAAAGCTTTTCTCATGTTTTGGGCTAGTACTGCTAGCACTTAATTAGCATTAGTTAATATTCAGATTATTCGTTAAGGTTGTATTTCGCACAATAATTATGAGTTTCATTTATACTCAGAGAGCTATCATAAACGCGGACGATGAAGACAAAACGCTAGAAGCTTATGGCTGGGACGGAGTTTGATTTCATTTGAATAATTGTTACATATTATCATTTCAGTAGTAACCTACCATGTGCGGAAATTTTCGTTCACTTGAAGTACCTTAAAGGAAAAATTGAACAGTTAGAGTGTTCATTAATTCAGCCACATCTGAACCATCGGCGAAAAGGGAAAGGAAGGATGATGTGCTATTCACCACAGAGGTGCGTTTTAAGCTGTTAACTATATAATAGAATGAGTTTTAAACTATTTACACTTTATAATCTTCCTATAGATATCTTTATCACCCACTTTCTTCGAACCTTGGCATAGATGCTTTGGTTCATTGACAAGCCTGTATAATATTGCTATAAAATTTTGTTGTGGCTAACATATTAGAACCATCGACTTCTTCAGAGTCGTAGTTATTCGTATCGATTGTCCACAGTAATCTATTCTTACGACTGATTGTGGCACTCCATTCCACCCGATTCAGCGTGAATGCAAAGGCACACATCGTAGGAATTAACTGCTGTAGAAATTCGATGTAAATCATCATTTCTCCGAGGAAGGTGATAGAATCGAAATTTTAGCCATAATAAAGTACTATAATAACCTCACATAAGCCTTTTTTGATGTTTTTAAGCTCTTTGAAGAAGAAAGGAAGGATAGACTTTGTAGAAGTAGCTAACTTTTACAGCGCCAAATGGTAATGAGAGCGTGGGGCATGTTAATCGACCATCGTCACTCTGTACACCTTAGACAAGTTCCAAAAGAATGTCTTAGTTCGACCAAACCTTACTGGATTTCAGGCTGGTTGACTTGAATGGACTACAGAAAGAAATAGATGCTGACATGATCAAAACCTAGAAGACTTCATGCTGCGGTAACAGTTACTATTTTATTTTGTGATATACCAATAATTTTTTTCTGTAATTGAAGTCCCCTTTTTAGTTTCCAGCTATTATTCACAAATATGTTTATTTTCGTACGTAGGAATAGTTGTCAATAAAAGAATCAACTGTCTTAAGTGTCCTCTTCTAATAAAACAAGCATTTCAGTGGAGTAAAACAACTCTGTGATTGTAAGCTAGACCACCTGCCATGTGTGAAGCGTAAAAAGGCGTTCGGCATTCATCAATTTTTGAGGATGCTACACTTATTCGACTGTATTCGCAGCATCATAGATGTTGTTGGATTCACATCTGGCCATTGGCTTTTGGTAACCCACAGATGTTTCAACTCAGTGTCCTACCCTCCTAGAGCTCTGTTGCTAAATTGCCCAACCTCCAAGGAGGGAACACGTGGTGGGCTCGAGGAATAGCACTAGCGACCGGTGAAGTCCATACAGCAGGGCACTTTCAACAACTGCACCACAAGCACCTACCTGTCACCTGCATTACTTGTCAACGCGCTGGTCATCGAATTCTTCCCAGCAGGCGCCAATGAAGTTCATTCCACCAGCTCGTCGCATTTCTACGTACTAAGGATCACCAAAGCTGGGAACGAATTTGACATTTCCATCTGGAAGTCTTCCTAGAGTGAACCTACCACTTAGACCAATGGGGTTTACTAGAGCTCCTTTCAAATACTCGGGGATTAATAGGGTTAGGGATCGTAGTCGGAACAGATAGCATGTTTCTCAAATGAAGATAAACATTTTCTTGCTTCTTGTGTTTTATTAATACACACTTCTCGATTTCTTCTTTATCGCATATTTTTCCTTCTATGCTTCTTCTAAGTGCAAAAGCAATGTGTTTCAAATAATATACGTTCTGGAAGGTTTCGTATCATGTGTTTTTATGTGGCCCACTTATTCAGTTTTCTTCTTCAAATCTTGTTTTTTCTAAATGCTTTGAGCCAAAGGCGTTGTGTTCCCTCCTACTTAAATACTTAGATGGCCCATTTTACCCCATTCATTCCTTTATAGCGCGTTTATCCATGGTAGTAGTCTACTTAGAACACGGTGAGATTTGCGGGGCTCACCCCGTCATCTGCAAGTGGCTGACGTAAATCACGAACGCTTTCGCACATCATTTAGATGGTCATCCCAGGAGAGCTATGCATCCTCCTGCAGTCCACTGTACAGCTCTTTTCCTGATCTTACTATATACTACCAGTTTGCTTGTTTTTTACTATTGATGGATGTTCTCTGGTATCTCTAAGATGAGACAGGTTCCGATGATCTGAACTGCGAATTCCGGAAACACGTTGTGTGCTGATCAAATTTTACGAGTTCAAGACCTCTGTGAGACGTGCGCCGAATCTTCCACATAGTCTAAGTGGCAAACCTGTTGCATAATAGAGAAAGGAGGATAAAAAGGATAAAACTCTCGACGTTGATCAATCGCTGAGGGATGCTCCATGCATTCGACTTTATTAAGCATCGTCTGGAGGTGATTGAATGCATATCTGGCCTTTACAATGAA